ACGACTTTACAACGAGATTTGTCATTTTTGAGTGGGACCCATTACATTTGCCACATTTTCAACTTAGGAAATACCTTCCCAGAACAGAACAGTCTGGGAACTGGGTGGGAACGTCACCTATCAAGCTGTCTCAGTTCATTACTGGATTAATTAGACCTCAGGGATCTGAGGCCAGATTTCACCTTAGTTTTAAAACACAGCAAACATAAGCCAAGCACAAACTGCTCGTTGAGCTCTGTACTAATATGCAAAAGCCCTGCCCAAGTTGCAGATGGATAATGCTTCTGTGGACCCTCAGTTTGGCTTCTCCTTTACCCAAGGCACTGGGTTACCCTGTTTTGTACATAGCAACTGTCAACTGGCGGGAAGGAGTTCAGCTCAGGAGAGGAGCTAATGCTCAAAATCCTCCAGACTCTACTTCACCAGCCTCCAACAGTTGTTTCCCATGACTGCATAGAGGTAGCTCATCACCTTTGGCAACACGTCTTTTAAAATAATCCCTCACAGCCAAAGCCTAGCTCACGATGCTTGTCAAGAAGGCCTATACAATATGCCCACCCCCGCTTTGTGACATCCTCCCCTGGGGGCCCCCGGGAGCATGTTACTGTTTTTACCTTTCCCGAGGTGTAGAGGAGTTCCCAGCTGACTTGCTTAGGACGTTGGTTTAAAAGAAAACCTCTATCTCCCTTTGCTCACGAAGCTAAAGGCCCTCCGTAGAATTAGTAAGGTCTTTAGCTAGTAGAAAAGAGTGCTGTAGACCTGTTTCCTTGTAGGGGAGAAAAGAGGTCTTACAAAAAAAAAAAGAAAAAAAGAGAAGCTCTCACATTTTAATTTAAGCGCCGGTGTTGGATCCCCATTTGGCAAAATCGTTTATAGTCCGTTTTTGGCCCAGCATTTTGCATCTGCAAGATCAGAGCTTATTAGGATCATCTCTTGCTTGTGCCTCCCAACACTGCCACCAGAGACCATAAAAGGCTTCGACCATACACGCTGCAGGGCGCATGGTTCTTTCTTAACTACCACAAGGCGGGTTTTTGCTTGCACCGAAAGACTTACATTCCCCTGGCCATACTGGTAATATGAAACACTCTCTTCATCCCAGTATCTTCTAGAACCCCCACTTGGAACATGGGGACTATATTAGAAATCAATATCTCCTGAAATGGGCTGTGTGTGAAAGACAGAATAATAGGCTGCCTGAAGCATCTGTGGTTTCATAGACGATGACTGTTTGTAGGTCATTGATCAGTTCTGGAAACAAAACCATCATATAATTTATAGTCTTGTCTATTTATGTTTTCTCTCTTTAATTTGTTCAAAGCATCCCATTAAACACCGATTATTCTTATGGCAGGAAGCCTATGGACTCATCAAGATATGGTGGGACTTTATGAATGAAATCTGTTGCGGTGGTGGCTTTGCGAGTGTAAATAATTACATCTCCAGCAGGTAATGATTATAAATATTTTAAACATAGGAAGCTTGCACACTGAAATTCCAATCAAGCATAGCCACCCACCACTGACTATGGGTGATAGAACCACAACCACAACAACCAATGAGATGAAAGTGGCTAGATATGGTCAGCTCCTCACTCTCAGGGAAGTGTGAATCCAGGTGATGACTTCAGCAGCCCAAACACATCTGCTCCCCTGCTCCCCCGAAATCTTCATAAGCACATAGACAAAAGCACATGCATGTACTTGCAGATCCAAAAATTAATTTGTGTAAAACCCTGATCACTTCTGCTAAGAGTCAGGTATATTGTGTTAAGAAGTAGCACAGGGAAGCTACTTTTTAATGTGTTTGTCAGGTTCACTGGAGCCCGAGCAAAGCCACAAGGAAGGGAGTCTCCGGCTGGCAGTCTGTTAGATCAGCAGAATCAAAGAAGCTAGAAAGAAGTCAGGAGGCAGAGGGTACTCTTGGGAAGGATGGAGGGGAAGAGAAAGGGAGACAGAGAGACATTGCATATGCACTTTTCCTGCTTCAAAACTGTCTTCGAAATGACCGGGCTAATATACAACAAGCAGAAGCCAAGCAAAGGTCAACTAGAGCCAGCCCCATTATCTCTCAACTCACAAGTTCAGAGGGGCTAAAGCTTTAATGCAATTAGTTGTTTCCTCTTTTCTTTTCTGTATAGCTGTCCCAGTCTGTCTTCCCAGCTCATCTCCTGCCACTATAATCTTTACCTAAAGCTGGTCACCTTTCTGGAACATTTCATACAGCTCTGTGCCTTCATATCTTAGTTCAGGCTATTTGCTCTCTTTGGAAATCTCTTTGCCACCCTTCTCCTTCCGAAAACTCCTGCCCATTTTTTAGAATCTAGCTCAGAGGTGTCGAATACTGTGACAGCTTTCTTGGGCAGATCAGTCAGTTCCTCCACTGTGTTTCCAGTGTACATTTTACATCTATTGCCTCCTATGGGATTGTTTGAGTACTGCCCTCCCATCAAGATTCAACTCCCAGAGAGCAGTGATGGCATTTGATTATCTGTGTGTCCTTAATGTTTAGCCCACGGTAGGCACTTAATATATGATTAATGAATGGGTGGATGGATGGATGGATGGATAGGTGGATGGATGGATGGATGGACGGATGGATGGATGGATGGACGGATGGATGGATGGATGGGGCATTGCAATTTTTAAGGGAAGAAAAAAGAGTATGAGGAATTAGCAGGTGAGAAAGTTCCAAAAGAGGTGCTAATCAAAACTCCAGCCACTTTCTCACAGAGGTTCATCTTTCACCTCCGAACCTTGGACTCTCAACACTGCCATCCTTTCATAAATTAGAGCTACAACCAATGCAAGTATTAAGACTTAGAAAAACCATAGGAAAAGTCGTGGGATCCTGCTAATTTGAAGATGGATTTCAACTTCAGTGAGGTACCAACAGTGCCAGCTTGGGTTATTTCTTTATGCATTTAATAGAGCACTTACCTCTCAAAACCCGGCTGCAGCTTGATCTCACATTTTCTTCATACTTGCTTCAACACCTGTTAACCACAACACTGAGGCTGCCAGTCCTGGCTTCATCTTGCTCTCCGACTGTTACTACGACGTTGTAACCACAGCTCTGCAGCTGCTACACTGGCAGCCATTCCAGGGACTGGGGCTGGCCTCTGGTCCCCGGGGTGCTTTAACAGTCCCACAGGTTCTTGGTGCAATAGATGCCTCTCTCTCTCTCTCTCTCTCCCCCTTCTGGCCTTCACAGCCCCCTGCTCATCCTGCCCTTGTAAAGCCCATTGCTTCAATGTCGTTAGCTTACGGGTGTCTCTCACTCTCACTGGACTGCAAGTTCTGTGAGGGAAGGACTATGTCCTACTTGTTATTGTTTCTCTCATACTTACCAGAGCCTGGCAATGGAAGGTAAGAGTGAAGAATGAATGAATAAATGAAGAATGGATGAAGATGTTCTCATTAAAATTCTTTGCTGCAACTTCAATTAAGTCACTCATCACTCCTATCAGTTATTATTTCCCCCCAAATTATCCTTGTTATTTAGTGTGATTGTTTTTTTTTCCTTCACCCCAGAAATGGGTAATCTTTCTGGATTATCAACAGCTATGCTGTAATACCAAAGTAGAAAAGAAAAATCTAGACATGATATAAACCTGCTAATGGCTTCCTCTCAGAGCTATCTTTATACATCTCTAAATCACATTTAGTAATATTTGATTTCCTCTCAGGCCAGTTGGACATGGTGTGCCTTGCTTAGGGAGCTAAGTGTATCTAATTCCATGAGCACCAGAGACATAGCGACTCTGCATTTTAACAATACAACTCATAATTTTTTCACTTAAGGAATTGAATGTTTCTGATTTTTTTGGGTCTTAAGAGATAAGGGTCTCTTTGGAATCTTTGGGAAATTAGGCAATATGTTGAAGCTTTATCACACCTTTCAGTAATAATGACGCCAAACAGATGATTCCTCCTACTTGACGTATCTGTCTTGACTCACCTAAATTCAATTTCCATTTCCAAGTCAGAGGGCACTTCTGGGTGTGGTGAAGTGGGAAACGGGGGCCTGGGCTCAGAGCTGACTGAAGCGGACTGACCAGCTTAGCCATACATCTCTCTTTATATCTGTGAAACAGGGGTCATAATGTTGACTACATGAGGCTCTTGTGAAAATTAAAAGAAAATATGGCATGCATAACGCTTTTAGCCAAATTCTGTGAAGCAGTATTTCCTCTATTATATTAGTACCCTCCCCCTTCGGACATTCCAGGGAGCACTGTGGTGTCAGTATACAGACACAACTTCCTGTGGCAGAGGGACATGAGGGGCAGGGTGCTTCATAGAGTTAGACAGTTGGGGCAAATGGTAAGAAGAATTTTACAATGTTTTGATATAAAGCATCCTGAGACATTTTGCCTCTTCCCTAGTGATAGAGCCTTTTTTTTTTTTTTTCAGTCCAGAAATTCCTCTTCTAGGCCTCGGCCTTTGGGATTACTGATTTTCCTACTTTACCCTCCTAATCCTCCAAATCTCAGGAGCAAAGTTTCTCCACCAGCCATGTTGGCAGTTACCTTTGTTATCAGGTTAGCCAGAGTCCTCTGTCGGTTCTCCTCACAGGAAAATGCTCCAGCGTTCCTGGTCTAAGCTCACTTCTCTGACCTGGGCCTTCATACCCATGATGCCATTCCCATCAGTGCAGCCCAAGCAAACACTCCTGCCTTCAGATGTTAAGGTTTCTCTTGACAGGGTATTCCTTCAACTCTGCCACTGGATCATTTTGTTTCATTCATTGTCAGACCCTCAGTGATCCTAAAAATACATCTTAGCTCATCACAGTCACTCCCATTCACCATTTTAATCTTCTCAGACTCATGTGGAAAATTCCTGTCCTTCACAGGGATTATAGCGATGACCACAGTCAAAGGCACATTTACAGCTAAAGAATACTTCTGGAAGTTGTTTATCATCTTTCTTTAAAACAAAAGTAAAACAAGTTCAGAGTGCATACTTATGTTTTGTTATATCTACTACTTCCACCTTCAACTAACTAGTTTCCTTTCAACTAACAGTCAATTTAAGAGAAGTAAGATTTTTAAATTTAAAATGTGAGTTTTTCCGACAGATGTTCGCGAGGATGCGGAGAAAGGAGAACCCTCCTACGCTGTTGGTGGGAATGCAAGCTGGTGCAGCCGCTCTGGAAAACAGTATGGAGGTTCCTCAAAAAGCTGAAAATAGAGCTACCCTACGACCCAACAATTGCAATACTGGGTATTTACACCAAAGATATAAATGTAGTGATCTGAAGGGACATGTGCACCCCAATGTTTATAGCAACAATGTCCATAATAGCCAAACTATGGAAAGAGCCTAGATGTCCATCAACAGATGAATGGATAAAGAAGAAGTGGTATATATATATATATATATATATTTATATATATGCACAATGGAATATTATGCAGCCATCAAAAAAAATGAAATCTTGCCATTTGCAATGATGTGGATGGAACTAGAGGGTATTATGCTAAGCAAAATAAGTCAGAGAAAGACAAGTATCATATGATCTCACTGATATGAGGAATTTGAGAAACAAGGCAGAGGATCATAAGGGAAGGGAGGGAAAAATGAAACAAGATGAAATCAGAGAGGGAGATAAACCATAAGAGACTCTTAATCTCAGGAAACAAACTGAGGGCTGCTGGCTGGGTTGGTGGGGTGTGGGAGGGATGGGGTGGCTGGATGATGGACATTGGGGAGGGTATGTGCTATGGTGAGTGCTGTGAATTGTGTAAGACTGATGAATCACAGACCTGCACCCCTGAAACAAATAATACATTATATGTTAATAAAAAAAATTTTTTTTAATAACATAAAATGTGAGTTTTTCTCCTCTTTAAAATTTTTTTAGGTCAAAAATGCAAAACAGGGCACCTGGGTATTTCAGTCGGTTGAACATCCAGCTCTTGGTTTCAGCTCAGGTCATGATCTCAGGGTTGTGGATTGGGCCCCACGTCAGGCTCCATGCTCAGCGCAGAGTCTGCTTGAGATTCTTTCCCCCTTCTGCTCCCTTCCATTCTGCTCTTCCCCCCTGCTCATGCTCTCTCTCTCTAAAGTAAATAAATAAATAAATAAATAAAATCTTTAAAAATAATAAAAAGTTTAAAAATGCAAAACATTTGAATAAACAAAAAGAAAATATAAGATACTACATAATCCCATAAACCAGACTTAACCACTGCCAACTTTTTTGTTTTGTATGTCTTTCATATATATCTATGTATCTATATCTATACTACAAAATCTCCATACAAATTTGTTGTTAAAAATCTTTAAGATACTGAAAATGTGCTGCCTTAAGTTCCACTAAGTTTATCACATGATCACCACTTGTCACCATGATTTCAAGAGATTTCTTTAAATAATGTGCTAATGTATGTATAGCAGTTGCTTAATAAATATAATCTCATATTCATAAACTAGATTGGATTATATGACTTCATATAATTTCGATTGTGTTAAAGGCGCAACATCAATGCAATAGGTTTGGAGAAATGTAAATTCTACTATTTTTTTTTACTTTTTTAAAAAATTAAATTCAATTAGCCAACATATAGTACATCATTAGTTTCAGATGTAGAGTTCAATAATTCATCAGTTGCATATAACACACAGTGCTCATCACATCACATGCCCTCCTTAATGCCCGTCACCCAATTATCCCATCCCCCCACCCACCTCCCCTCCAGCAACTGTCAGTTTGTTTCCTATAGTTAAGAGTCTCTCATGGTTTGTCTCCCTCTCTGTTTTCTTTCCATTCCATTTTCCCTCCCTTCCTCTATGATCCTCTGTGCTATTTCTTATATTCCACAAGAGTCCAATGCCAGATGGCTTCCCAGGGGAATTCTACCATTTAAAGAAGAACTAATACCTATTCTTCTGAAGCTGTTAAAAAAATAGAAATGGAAGGAAAACTTCCAAACTCATTCTATGAGGCCAGCACCACCTTGATCCCCAAACCAAAGATCCCACCAAAAAGGAGAATTACAGACCAAGATCCCTGATGAACATGGATGCAAAACTTCTCACCAAGATAATAGCTAGTAGGATCCAACAGTACATTAAAAGGATGATTCACCACGACCAAGTGGGATTCATTCCTGGGATGCTAGGGTGGTTCAACATTTGCAAATCAATCAACATGATACATCACATTAATAAAAGAAAGAACAAGAACCATATGATCCTCTTAATTGATGCAGAAATCCTACTATTAAGAAACACCTAACAAAAGATTTCACTCTTTCCACTCATAGTGTTTGTTTTCATAGCATTTAACTCTAAACTGGCTCATATTCATCAGAAATTAACATAGCAGCAAATTGTGTTAGTTTAACTATTTCAAGCTTGAGGTTATGAATATACTCAGCCTTTTTAAAAAATAAGAAAAAGAGCTTCCCCAAGGAAGTTTCTGTCCCGTGTCCTATATTGTCTCTTCAAGCACCCTATTCTTCTCTGGTGGTCTTTTGTACGGACAAATATTGATAAAGATTGTCCACATGGGCTGCCTTAACTTCCTTACTAATTCCCCCATAATGCTGGACACTGGATTCCTCCCACATTACTTTACTGACACCAGGCTCCTGTATTTGTTAGGACAGAGGTTTGGCTACTATTAATCAAACTGTTCCTTTTCTATTGAGTTGTATGAATTCTTTATATATATTGGATATTAACCCTTTATCAGATATATGATTTGCAAATATTTTCTCCCATTCTGTAGGTTGCCTTTTCATTTTGTTTTTGGTTTCCTTTGCTGTACAGAAGCTTTTTTATTTTTTTAAAATTTTATTTATTCATCTAACAGAGAGAGACACAGTGAGAGAGGGAACACAAGCAGGGCGAGAGGGAGAGGGAGAAACAAGCCTCCCACCAAGCAGGGAGCCCGATGTGGGGCTCGATCCCAGGACCCCGGGATCATGACCTGAGCTGAAGGCAGACGCCCAACGACTGAGCCACCCAGGCACCCCAGTACAGAAGCTTTTTAGTTTGATGTAGTCGCACTTGTTTATTTTTGCTTTTGTTGCCTTTGCTTTGGTGCCAAATCCAAAAAAATCATTGTGAAGATCAAGGTCAAGGAGCTTAGGCTCTATGTTCCTTTCTAGGAGTTTTATGGCTTCACCTCTTACATTCAAGTCTTTAATCCATTTTGAGTTGACTTTTGTGTATGGTGTACATATGTCCATTTTTAGATACATGATTTGCAAATATTTTTCCCACCCTGTGGTTTGTCTTTTCATTTTAAAATGGTGTGTTTTGAAGAGAAAAAGGTTTTAATTTTGGCAAAGGCCAATATACCATTTGTTTTTAAAGATTTACTTATTTATTTTAGAGAGAGAGTGAGAGCATAAGCATGAGGGGCAGAGGGAGGCAGAAAATCTCAAGCAGACTGTGCTGAGCACAGAGCTCAATGAGGGGCTTGATCTCAGGACCGCAAGATCATGACCTGAGCCAAAACCAAGAGTTGGAGGCTTAACCAACTGTGCTACCCAGGTGCTCCCAGTACACCATTTTTAAAATGAATTATGTTTTTGATGTCATATCTAAAAAATCTTTGTCTAACCCATAGTCACAAAAATTTTTGCTGATGTTTTCTTTTAGAAATTTTATAGTTTTAGGTTTTACCCTTATATCTATGATCCATTTTGAGTTAATTTTTGTGCATGGTGTGAGATCAGGGTCTATATTTGTTTACTTGTGTTAATGGATATACAATTATTCCAGCTCCATTTTTCTAAAAAAATATATTCTTTGGTGAGCCTGGGTGGCTCAGTTTGTTGAACGTCTAACTCTTGGTTTTGGCTCAGATTGTCATCTCGGGATCATGGGATTGAGCCCCATGTCAGGCTCTGGGTTCAGCATGGAGTCTGCTTGAGATTCTCACCCTCTCTCTCTGCCTCTCCCCCCACTCATACACTTCGCCCCCTCTCTAAAATAAAAATAAATAAATAAAATCTTTTAAAAAGAATATTCTTCTCCTATTGAATTGTTTTGGAATCTTTGTCAAAAACTGACAGACTGTAAATGTGTGAATTTATTTCTGGACCTACTGCTCTTTTACATTGATTTTAATGTCTATCTTTATGCCAACACTACACTATGTTAATTTCTGAAATTTTGTAGTAAGTTTTGAGATCATCAGTATAAACCCTCTAGTTTTGTTCTTCTTTTCAACATTTGTTTGGCTATTCTAGGTGCTTTTCATTTTTATATAAATATTAGGATCAATTTGTCAATTTCTATGTCAACAATGTTTTATAGTTTTTAGTGTATAGGTCTTGCCCTTCTAATAACTTTATTCCTAAGAATTTTATTATCTTGTATGCTATGGTGAATAGAAATGTTTTCTTAATTTCATTATTGGATTGCTGTACTGATCCTGCATCTTGTGGCCTCACTTCTCAATTCTAGTTTTTTGTTTTGCTTTGCTTTGTCTAGATTCCCTAGAGTTCTTGCAGGGTGGGAGGGAAGGAGACTCAGGGTTCTCCCTGGTAGAAAAGTCCCTCCCTATTCCAATGTCTGCCATAACAGCCCTAGTTCTATCTTATTGATATATTGATGTTCAGCTTTAAAATATCATTTGAATACAAATAATCTAGTTTATCGTCATTGTGCAGATGAGGAAACTGATCTCAGAGAATCACTGAGTAATTTGATCGCAGTTTAAAATTAAATGAAATATTACAAAGGCAAAATAAGGTATGACATGGACATACAAAAGAAGTTAAGTGAATCAGTAAAATTGCAGCTAGTCTTGTTCTTAATGATACATTTTATTCTCTCATTATAAATATTAATTCACAGTGGATACAACTCTTTGGCTTTATGTAAATTTCATAGAAAAAACATGTAGATTTGTAATTTTTCTTATCTCAAATTGAAGCTGCATTTGAAAAGGTTAAAAGGATACATAATTACACCGTTATTAAATGTCATATGGACTGATACTGTGCAGGTTAGGCCAAGTGGCTCTGTAACTCGAGTGTTAATTATTTGCAAACCTGCATATGGGAGGCCCCCAAGGATATTATTACTGAAGTATTGGCCTTCTCCTGACTTCACTGCTGTTAGTGTCAGCAAAGCCAGGGAATCTGTCATGTCTTTCCTGTTTATTCATAGAGGTTGTAGTGGTATTTTAGTAATATTCTTGCTTTTCATGGATAGTTGCTTCTACTTTTGAATTTATATCTCATGTAACATTTTAATAATCCTTTTCATGTGCAGAGCTCACTTAAAATGTATAATAGCCAACTTGTTATTAACTCTTTTTGACAGAGAGAAATTAGTGAGAACTGAATATTAACAAGCAGAGAAAGAAAGCCACCAGGACTTTCAGTTATTAATAGAAGTAGGAGTTATACCCAGAGACTTTTTGACACAAGATACCAGGTAGTGAACAGTCTTATTTTAAAATAGCATGGCAAAAATACTCTGAAAAGCCCAAGTAAAATGATGGAAACAAGAAAAGAGAATAATATATATACATATATATTTTTTAAGTATTTGAAAACGTCTGCACTTAACCTTGGTAGAAAAACTAATTATAACCATTACACAGTAATTAGAAGCCATTTAGTTTTTGTCATTTACTTAACTATGCTTATATATTGTAGACATTAAGTGTCTTCAGTTGGGAAAGAACGGAACAGAATAGCTACTTATTAAAGTACAAGATAAAGGTTGCTGTGTCTAAATCTACCTTTTTTGTTGTTGTTATGATATCAGGAAGGTATCAGGGAGCCATTGAAAATGAGAAATTGGGTCATTGCTTACAAGTAGATACTAGAAATTTCAATATAGCATGAATATTTTCACTTGGAAACAGCTTTACGACTGGAGATTTGTGTGTGATAATACGTACAACTATAACCCTCCATTATATCTTAAAATGGAAAACTTAGCTCCAAGATCCAAATTTTTATAAACATATTGCTCATATAGAGAATCATGAATTACAAATGTAACACATGAGGAATATGCACACAACTAACGTATTTTATCTTTTTATAACTAATATATTTTAAATTGATTTCAAAAAATAATTTTACCAGCTATTTTAGAACTTAGAAGCATTTTGGTAGCATTTTGGTAGACCAGAGATCATTTAAAATCTGTTAAGATCATGTGCACTGATGCCTTCTTTTTCTTTTGATCAACTTCCCTACAACAAGAGAGAAAGTATACAAGATGCTTCCCTTGACTCTAAAGCTGTCTATGTTCAAAATTTATTTTATGCCAGTGGTGCTCTTCTTATTAATAAGGATTTTTAAAAAGTATCTACTATCTTTCAGTGCCTGCCATGGGAGAAGATCACTGCCAAGCATTACACATTCATACTAGGGCCACCTCTGTATCTATATCATGTATCAGGGAGGTCAGATGTCTGGGACTGGGGCTCAAATCCTGGCTCTGCTCCTTAAAAACATGTGAAATTGGGCACTTAATTCAATTTCCCCTAAACTTAGTTTTTCATTAGTTTCACAACACCAACTTTATGGAATTGTTATGAGAATTAACACAGCTGTATATAAATAAAGACATGACTCCTCATAGGCACTAAATAAATGGTAGATATGTAGTAACAATGTTTTGTTCATCACTATCTCAGGATCAGGGAATAAAACTTCTGGTGGGAAAAGTGAAGAAATTATGAAAACCATCTTCTGTTCTATTTCTTGCTTGCCCTCTGTCTTCTGTATTTCTCCACTGCAGTAAGTAGTAGTAAGCAGTGAAGGAGGCTCTGCAATGTTGAGGAAAGCTGCAGCCAGCTCCAGACCTACCTCAGTGTTGGTCCAGGATTTCAGTGAAAAGAATAAAGCAATTCTTTGAGTTTACTGTCCAGGCCAGCTCACTAGGTTTGTCAAGCAGACAAAGATGGAGTCAGGGGGCGCCTGAGTGGCTCACTTGGTTAAGGGACCGACTCTTGGTTTCATCTTGGGTCATGATCTCAGGGTTGTGAGATCAAGCCCTGTGTGGGGCTCTGCTGTCAATGGGGAGTCTGCTTCTTTCCCTCTCTCTCTCTCCCTCTCCCTCTGCCCTTCCCCCCCGCTCATGCTCTCTTTCTCTAAAATAAATAAATAAATCTTTTTTAAAGGGTGGAATCTTTACTTAGGATTATAGACTATGCACTGGACTGGAGAGTCTTCTGTTATGTTTCTTAAGGAGTCTGAGAAAAGCCATCTCTGACAAGATGGGCTACAGGTCAAAAACCCTTAAATTAAACAAACCTTGTACCCATTAAATTAGTAAAGGTAATTTTTAAAAATTCCAAAACCATGTGTGGGTGGGCAATGGGGATGTAGGCTGACTCATACATTGCTGGTGCTACTGTAAGAGTAGATTTTTGGGACAGTAAATTGAATGAGATTTAAGGGGGAAATAATCTTAAAACTAATCATATTGGTCAAGATTTCCTTATTTAAGAAAATGCATTCTTCCAGAACTTCGAAGGACTACAGTTGCTGACCTTATTGAAGATTGAGCTGTTGACCATCCAAGATTTAGATCCTACATCTCAAGATGTGCAAGAAAGAGTGGACTATCTTTTACTTTCCAGCTTGGACACCCATTGAAAAGACTTGGGTCATATGTCTTCCCACCAACAAACCAGTCACTGCCCAGTCACTGCTTTCCTGCTCATACATTCTTCAAAGGAAAGAGGGTGAATGTACCAGACAACAGAGGATAGGAAAATATCCTAGATAAAATAACTGTCACCACATCCAATATTCTAACCATGCCCATTGTCGTGATATTATTATTCCTGAAAATATATTCCAAGAAGTAAATTGAAATGGTGATGGGGGAGGGTTTGTGCAATTACTGTGCCAACGTATCATAGCTGTGTACCTTTTAACAGGAAAAGAAAAACAAAACCAAACCTAACCTGGCAATGGCCGAAATGCTCAAATGCTGAGGAATGGTAAAGGTACTTCAGCATATTACAATAATAAGCCATCTTATCCAATTCAATTTATTAAAGATTGAGAATGTATGTATTTTGTTTAACAGTTAGTGGGAATATAAGGATGGATAAGGCGTGGTCCCTTCCTCCCCTTAAGTGGTCACTATGTGGTGTTAGTGATAATGGTAATGGACATTTTTGAGCACTTACTAGTTGATAGGCAGTATGTCAAGTGCTGTATTATTACATTCAATCCTCTGAACAATATGGGACTTCATCCAAGGCCTTATAACTCCAAACTTACATTGTAGTAGGCATTTAAAACAAAAATCTGTAGGATCACAGAGAGAATGGTTATTTTTTTACACTGAGTTATAATTTGACATGCAATAAGTTGCACACATTTAAAGTATACAATTTAATAAACATTGAAATGCAACTGTGAAGCCATCTGATCTCTTTTCTGTAACTATAGATTAATATGCATTTCTAGAATTTTATATTTGTTTGACTCAGCCTAATTATATTGAGATTCATCCATATTGTTGCATGTATCAAAAGTTCAGCTCTTTTTTTTTTTTTTTGCTGAGTAATATTCCACTGTTTGAATATACCACAATATGTTTACCCATTCACCTGTTGAAGGACATCTGAGTTGTTCCCAGTTTTAGACTATTACAAATAAGGCTGTTATGACAGCCATGTACAAGTCTTTGTATAGTCAGTGCTTTCATTTCTCTTGGGTAAATAACTAGGAATGGAAAGGCTGAATCATATGCTAAGTATATATTTAACTTTTTTTTAATTTAAAATTTTTATTTTGAGATAATTAAAGATTCAAATGCAGTTGCAAAAAATAATACAGAGAGCCTGTGTGCCCTTTACCCATTTTTTTCCTCCAATAGTAACATCTTGCATTACTAACAATATCAAAACTGAGATATTGACACTAATAAAGTGAAAATACAGAATATTTCTATCACCACAAGGATTCCTCATGTTCCCCTTCTATAGACACATCTACTTCCCTCCTACACCTCCCCACCAAGAACCAAATACTAATTAGTTCTCCATTTCTAAAATTCATTTAAAGAATATTATATAAATGGAATCATTCAGTAGGAAACCTTTAGGGGTTATCTTATTTTTAAGTTTTTAAAAATTTAATTCCAGTATAGTTAACATACAGTGTTACATTAGTTTCAGGTATACAACATAGTGATTCAACAATTCTATACATTACTCAGTGCTCATCATAAGTGTACTCTTAATCCCCTTTATCTATTTCACCTGTTCCCCTACCACCCCCCCCCCACCTCTGGTAACCATCAATTTGTTTTCTATAGTTGAGTCTGTTTCTTGGTTTGTCCCTCTCTCTTTTTCCTTTGTTCATTTGTTTTGTTTTTTAAATTCAACATGAGTGAAATCATATGGCATTTGTCTTTGTCTGATTTATTTGCTTAACACTATAATCTTCAGTTCCATCCATGTTGTTACAGATGGCAAGATTTCATTCTTTTTATATGGCCAAATAATATTTCATTGTATGTATACACATCTTCTTTACCCATTCACCTATCGGATGCATATTTGGGCTGCTTCCATAATTTGGTTATTGTAAATAATGCTGCAATAAACATAGAGGTGTATGTATCCCTTTGAATTAGTGTTTTCTTATTTTTTTTTTTGGTAAATACCTAGTAGTGGAATTACTGGATCATAGTGCAGTTCTCTTAACTTTTTGAGGACCCTCCATACTGTTTTCCACAGTGGCAGCACCAGTTTGCATTCCCACCAACGGTGCAAGAGGGTTCCTTTCTCTCCACGTCCTCGCCAACACTGTTGTTCTTGTGGGGATTAGCTTTTTTCACTCAGAATAATTCTCTGGAGATTCACTCAGGGTGTTGTGTGTATCAGTTTGTTCATTCCTTTTATTGCTGAGCAGCATTCCATGGTCTGGATTTATCACATTTGTTTAATCATTCATGCACTGAAGTACATTTATGTCGTTTCCAGTTTTTAGCTATTACAAAGAAGCTCCTGTAAACATTCACGCGCAGGTATTGATATGAATATAATTCTTCATTTTTCCAGGGTAAATGCCCAGGAGTGCAATTGCTTGGTAATATGGCATTTTTTTTTAAAGATTTTATTTATTTATTTGACAGAGAGAGACATAGCAAGAGTAGGAACACAAGCAGGGGGAGTGGGAGAGGGAGAAGCAGGCTTCCCGCGGAGCAGGGAGCCCGATGTGGGACTCAATCCCAGGACCCTGGGATCATGACCTGAGCTGAAGGCAGACGCTTAACGACTGAGCCACCCAGGCGCCCGGTAATATGGCATTTGCATGTTCAGTTTATTCAAACATGGCCAAACTGCTTTTCAGAGTGGCTATATGCCATGTTACCATCCTACTGGAAACATATGAGTGATCCAGTTTATTCATGTTGCCAACATTTGGTATTATCACTGTTTTCTTTTAGCCATTCTGATAGATATGTAGTAATATCTCATTGTGGTTTTAATTCGCATTTCTCTAAAGCCACCAGGACTTTCAGTTATTAATAGAAGTAGGAGTTATACCCAGAGACTTTTCACGTGCTTTTCTGCCATCTGTATATTCTCTTCAGTGAAATGTCTCTTTGTGCTTTTTTTCCCATTTTCTAATTGGATTATTTTATTGTTGACATTTGAGAGTTCCTTATGTATTTTAGATAGTGCATTGTTAGATATGTGGCTGGCAAATAATTTTTCACATTCATTGCTTGTTATGTTATCTTCTTAATGTGTTCTTAGAGTTTTAATTTTGAGGAAGCTCAGTTTATCAATTTTCCTTTATGGATTGTGCTTTGGTGACAAGTCTAAGAACTCTTGGCCTGGTCCTAGATGTTGAAGATTTTTTTCCTTTTCTTCCCCCCTTAAAAGTGTTATAGCTTTAAATTTAAATTTATGTATGAAATCCACCATGAGTTGACTTATATGTAAAGTATAAAATGTAGGTCAAGGTCTGTTTTTTAACCTATGGGTGTCCATTTCTCCATCACCATTTGTTTAAAGGCAAACTTTCCTACATTGAATTGCATCTGCACATTTGCCAAAATTCAGGCATATTTGTGTGGGAATTGCAGGGGGAGGTCTCTTTTCTGTTCCATTAATCAATGTGTCTATTCATCAATAATACCAATCTCTCTTGATTTTTTTAACTATTCTAGTTTGTCTTCCATAGAAATTTTAGAAGAATCTTCTCTATATCTACAAAAATTCTTGTTGAGGTTTTGGTGGGAATTGTGTTAAATCAGAATATTAATTTGGGAAGAATTAACTATGTTCTTTCTTCCAATCCATAAACATGGTATGACTCTCTACTTAACTGAGATCCTTGATTTTTTTTATTCAAGTACAATTAACATACAATGTTATATTAATTTCAGATATACAATATAACAATTCAACAATTCTATTCATTGCTCATCATGACAAGATTACTCTTACTCCCCTTCACCTATTTCACCCATCCCCCCACCTACCTCCCCTCTGGCAACTACTAATTTGTTCTCTACATTTAAGAGTCTGTGTCTTTTGTTGTCTCTCTTTTCTTTGTTCATTTGTTTTGTTTCTTAAATTTTACACATGAGTGAAACCATATGATATTTATCTTTCTCTGACTGACTTATTTCACTTAGCATTAGACCCTCTAGAACCATCCATGTTGTTGTTGCCAATAGCAAGATTTCATTCTCTTTTATGACTGTGTAATATTCCACTGTCTATATATACATCTTTTTTTGTAACTAAATTTGTTTATTTGTATCATGATTTGTTCCCCCAAAGATTTTTTGTATTTGATTTTAGTTGACACATCATATTACAGTAGTTTCAGGTGTACAGCTTAGTGATTTGACAAGTTTATACAGTATACTATGTTCATCACAAGTGTAGCTACCATCTGTCCTGTTACATTACTATTACAATATCATTTACTGTATTCCTTCTGTTGTACCTTTTATTCCCATGACTTGTTCATTCCATAACTTGGAAGTCTATATCTCCCGTTCCCCCATTTTGCCCAAGCCCCGCACTTCTCTCCCCTCTGGCAGCCATCAGTTTATTCTGTTTTTATAGGTCTGATTCTGCTTTATAACAGATATGGGAGTTTAGTATATGACAAAGGGGGGCATTAGTGGGAAAAAGCCAGATTCTCCAAATAAGTCATGCTTATACAACTTATACCCAAATAAATTCTTCCCAAAGCAAAATTTGATAACAAAAATGACTCCATAAGTTATTAGAAGAAAACATAGATTTCTATATATAATCTTGGAGTAGGGATAAATGATGTAAAACCAGGATTACATTAAGGAAAATAATAAGTAAATCTGACTACATAAAAATTAGTAACATTGCCAATGAAAGCCATATATATTAAAGTTAAAAACAACATATTGGCAAGAACATTTGAATATTAATTATGAAGTGCCACTTAAAAATCCACAATGAGTATTTACAACTCAGTTGGAAAAGATAAACACCACTAATAGAAATGTGGGAAATGAAATGAGAAGTCATTTCACAACAAAATGTGCTAAGAATAAAAACAAATGCTCATCCAGTGCATACTTTAAAAGTTGCAAGTAAAAAAAAAAAAAAAAAGCAATGGTGTACTACTTTTTACCAATAAGTAGTATAATTTTACCTATAATTTAACAAAGATCAAAACATTTGTTTAATATTACTCATGGGCACGATGTAGAGGTACAGATGCTCTCAAAACCTGAGGATGCAAATTTAAATTAGTTGTAACTGCTATAGCAAAATTTAGCTACATAAATAATTTGTCAGATTTATTGAGGTATAATTTACATGTGGTAAAATATATTCTTTTAAAATGTATAATTTGATGAGTTTGACAAACACATACAGTTATATAAACATCACTACAAATTTTTCATCTATGAATTATATTTTGTTCCATTAATCTTTCTAGTCATATGTGATATTACTTTAAGTGTTGATAATATTCACAATCTTGCCTTAAGAAGTGACTGTGCATCTATCCTCTATCTACATCTTATCATAAGAAAGATAATAAATAATTGCTTGACTTAATATTTTAATAAACCCAATGAAACTAATTATTTAATACCTATTACTGAGTGTTATATTTAAATTAAATCAAAATAATAACAAGTTTAAAAGCAAAATGTAATAATATAAGATACTAGGAAAATTTTAATGTTTTAACATCAGTGAACAAACTTCGGTACTATATTTAGTTACCCTATTTAAGACCTCCAACATAATAAAATCTTTTTGTAGTTTTATGGTCTCCTC